GGCACTTCTTAGAAGTTAAGATGTTTGTTGTTTGTGCTGATTCACACATAGTGTCTGGGCTCTTTACATTCATGGTGACCTTCAGGAGCTTATTGCTTGTTAACCTGTGAGTTCTGCAGGCCAACACTGGTGAAGGCTTGACACCACAGAGGATTCACTTCCACCTCCACTGGTGGGATGGGAGCATCATCATTCTGGGACCACTGAAGTCCTCCCTTGAAGGTCTTGAGTAAGAGTAGGAGACCAGCAGCACCTTCCCCACACCCTCACTCTACTTCTTGGCTCAAAGTTCAGACAACTTTGGGCATCCACCGTTAGGATACCCGTACCCCTCCCTTCTGCCTGCAGTTTCCCAGCTCACTGGTTTTGATGGATTTTGCCTGCCCCCACCTACTTCCCATGAGACCAGCAGCACTTTAATGTGTGTATCCCAGGCAGGGGCTTGTTCAGCAGGGAAACCTCACATGTAGCCCTCTACAATGCCAAAAGTAGAACTTCCCTCCAATTTCCACACACTCATAGCCAATTATAACAAATTTTAAATTGTGAAAAATCGTGTGTTTTTCTTAGAATTATTTTGTTCTTTTAACTAATATTTTGTAAAAACTAATCCTTAGTTTGAAATTAACTGGGAAACTCAATATCCTCAATGGAATATGAGGAGAAATCAAGAATGAAGAAAGGATATTAATACCGGAAAGAAGAAAAGGTATCATTTCTATTAATAAACTTAATAAATCAGCAAGCATATACATTTCATCTTGTTTTTCTCATTTGCCATAGATCCTCACAGTAAACTAAGACATTTGAGAACTTCTGCTTTAAGATTTAGGAAGATTCCTAAGTGCCTTCTCACTCATCAGAGAAAAAAGCATACATTTATAATGGTGTAGTTTTAAGTATTTTGTAGTCTGTGGCAATATTCTTTGAAAATTGTTCTTCCGTGCATGGTACATAGCAACTAAACTCAATTGGAAAAACCTGCTTCTCAACTATGGTATTAATGACTAAACATATAATACTTTACTGTTTTTCCATTTGTAGGTGAAAACAAATTTTAAAAGCCAACCAAAATGAATTTCTTAATATGAATGTTAATACATTTTCCATTCAAAACTTGTTAATATTAAGTTCAAAATAATGTCTGCTTCATTGAGTTGTTGAGAGGATACTGTGTATCAACATTTAGCAGAGCACCTGGCGTATAGTAAGGGTTCTTGTTAAAGGTGATAAGCACTTCTGAATAGCCAGGTTCTGTCTTTAAGGACTAAAGACCTGCTAAGGGGATCAGGTGGAACAGTGCCCTTTAGGAACACCAGTCTTCTCTAGTAGCAGCCTGTTAGAAGAGAAATTATCCCTACCTGTTGCTAGCACAGGTACTGAGGGACCAAAGGGAAAAAATATTGTTCAGGAGTAAGCAATCAAGATTCTTCAATGTTGGACATAGAACTGCCACACATAAACACACATGATGACACAATGTAGGACTTGTAGTTCGAAGATGTGGCATATCTTAAGTGGATGTTGTGAACAGGGACCTCCACTTTATGATAGTAAAAAAAGTTCCACACTGGGATATAGTAAAGAGTTTTTTGGGACGTGAACATAGCCTCCAATATACACCTTCTTAATTTCTTACAGACCTTGAAGCAGATGAAGGAAATGTGCTTATTGATATCATTTACTTTTCCACATTAATTTTGTTTTTGTTGTTTCATACAACCCTTTGCCTTGTCACGAAGAAAATTTCGTTTTAAATCTTGTTCTCCAGTAATGTTTGGTAATAGCTAGAGTCCGCAAGGCCTTGCATTTATTTTTATTGCCTTTTATTTTTCTGTGTGCATATATTTTTTGCATTACTAATGCAGTTCCTTTTTAGTTTCTCATCTCACTTGTAGTTAAAAATATTTCAAGATAATTTATTCTAATAAAGTCAATAATAGAGGTCTGGGTAACATAGACTCCTTTAAACTAGACTGTTGAGTAGAAACTGCTAATTGACCACCAATATTCACTCTCATAATTTGGACATGAAATTCCCATTACCTTTTAGTTGGGTACACAGCTGCTCAAATGGAGTCTACATTATCTAGCCTCCTTTATGGTTAAGTTGTAGCTAATGGGATATAAGTGGAAGTGATATATGACTTCTGGATCATGCCTTTAAAAGCCCTGGGGCATGCATTTCTTGCCCTCTTTCCCATTCCTTCTGTGGGGTGTGGAAGTGAGCATTCAGCATCCATTTCAGATGCCACAACTGAAGCTGTGTGACAAGGATGGCAAAGCAGCCATGCTTTAATTTGAGAAACTTTTATTGTGTTTAAGGCACTGTATTTTGGGGGCTCTATTAAAGCAACTTAGTCTATATTAAACAAAGCTACCAGAGGGATAGATGAGCTTATGAACACAAAAGGATTAGACTTGATGAAGAGGGGGAAGTGAATCGAAGTCTTAGGTAAAACAATGCCAAAGAAAGATTCTTCCTTGGCAAAGGTCATTGAGCCTAATGATTTGGCTATTTTACCTTGGACAAGTCACTTAATCTCTCTCTGACCTGGAAATGAAAAGATTGAAGAGGTTGATCTTTCAAGGATTCTTTCTAGCTCTGTCATTCTGTAAGTGAATATGGCTCTAGAAAAGACTAGAGAGATGAAAATCTTCAAACATTAAGTACCTGAATTGACCCTTTAGACATGCATATTAGTATGTAGATCTACAGCCGGAAGACATGTTATGGTTGGAGTCCAGTAGTAGAGCTGTAGTCTCTTCTGTTTCTGCTTGCAAACTTGTTAATTCTTTTTTCTTTTTTTAAAGATTTTATTGGGGAAGGGGAACACAAGTTGCTGTCCTTTTGTTCTTCAGTCTAGTTGTGGAGGAGTTGCTTCACTGGCCAATTGTGGTATTGTTGGTATTGTGATCATTGCGCTCTTCCTGGCTGAGGCAGATCGATTGCCAGCCACTGGTCGGCTGCTCATAGTGGCTCTTGGCAGCTCATGCTGGCTGCCAGCCACTCACGATAGCTTATGGCAGCCCACTGCAGCAGGGGCTGCAGCCTATGCTGTCGTCAGCGACTCACGGCAGCCCAGCTCCAGGTCGAGCTATTGTTCACCATGTTAGCTGTAGAGGGCAGTGTCACTGGCCCATGTGAGATCTGAACTGGTGGCCCTACTGCTCAGAGCTCACGCTCCCAAGCCATCTCTTAACCAACGAGCCACTCAGCTGGCCCCAAACTGGTTAATTCTCAACTGACTTAATTTCTTTTTGTTGAATCTTGCTAAAAGCAAGGAGTGGCAACCTACACAAACTTACATTGAGCTTTTTTCAACCACTTCTGTCAGAACTATTGGCTGGATAATCTGCCTTCCAAATTAACACGGGTGATACTTTCCCCAATACATTTGGGAAGCATCACCACCCTTCCAGTCTGCAATGTTGCTACCTGCCAATGCCATATAGATCTTAGATCTTTGTTATTGTAGCATATCACTTTCAAAGATCATCTTTCCTTTTTAGGGACTTCACTAAGCTTCTGTAACAAATAGGCCAAAAAATACAGTAGCTAAAGCAAGATAAACACTTCTCTCATATAGTCCACAGGTAGACAGGCAGTTTAGGGCCTGTTAGGTAACTTTGCTTCACAAGGTAATTCAGGGCCTAAGTTCTTCTATGATATTGCTCTGCAATGCCTTCAGAGGGGTCCTTCTTGTGCTGGCTCACCACCATCACAACTGGGTTCTGGCCTATGTGAAAGGAGAAAGAGGAAGTAGAAAGGAAGTAGCCTCTCTAAGAATTTACCTAACTGATATCTTTGTAGTACAAAACTTGCCTAACGTTAATGTCTTTCTGGGACAAAAATAGTGAAAAGATTTGCAGACAGTCACAGGTGATACAACTGGAAAAAACTGATTCTGTACAGTTAGCCACTTAAATCATCAGATCTCATTATAGTAATTATTCATTTGGATAAGAGCTTGACTTTTTCTCACCTTTCTGATCCTAACATTTAGTTTTGGTTCTTATTATAGAATTCCAAGTGGAAATTAAAAACATTTACATGTAGCATTTACCCTAAAGACTGAACCTTTTACATTTTACTAGGTCCTTGGTGGTAATCACAATAACACACACACTGAAACTATTGTGAATTTTTCATTCACTTTTCCTGAATTTGTAACCCAGAACTATTTATATTTTTCAAGAGATGCCTTCTGATACAGATACTTCACTCAAGATATTTTTGGTGTCCCTCAGATCATACAATTTTCCCGTTCTACCTAACCTAAGTGACCTGCATTGCCAACCATTTCATCCGTTCTTTATACGAGTTCTCTTTCTCCCATATTCCTCTTTCTTCTAGACTCAATAGTTGGTCACCTAAGATCAGGCTTGGAGGAGCTGGTTGCTAAGAGACAAAACGCTGGGAGGGTGGAGACGCTGCACTGCGACAAGCCTTGGAGTGAATGCAAAAGTGGGCAGGGGGAGGCAAAGGCAAGGCGCTGAGGCCGCTTACCGCAGCCGCTTGTTCGGCTCCCTCCCGCCCAGCAGGAGCTCGTCGCTCATTGGCTCCCCGCTGGGGCACTGGCCTGTGATTGGCGGGGCGGCGTTGGGGCTGGCGCTCTCCTCAGTCGCCTCCTAGCCGGTGGGGTGACTTGTGAGGGCTTGATGTGAGGGCCGCGGTCAGGGTTGCAGGCCGGGTGGTGGGAGCTCCGTGGCTCGAGCACGGGCGGAGCCGGCCGCTGCAGGTGACGGAGGTGCAGCGAGGGCCGCCGCGGCCCTGTGGAGGTGAGCGAGATGCCGAGAAGACTTGGGTTTGGGCTGGGGGCCGGGGAAGTGCGGTACCGCTAACACCCAGCGCGTTCCCGCCGCGGCCTCCTCCCCCAGCGGGACGGGCTGGAGTCCCGCTCGCCCAAACGCCGCGAACATCCCCACGAGTAGCCTGCAGCCCGCCGGCCCTGCCTACTCCAAATCCCCGTAGCCCGTCCCGCCTGCGCACCGGCTGAGGGAGCCCAGCTTCTGCCGGCCCGGCCGCGCCCCGGCGCCTGCCCCGCCTGTTTCCCCCAGCCTCGCCCCTCTGCCGGACGCCTTTGTGCGCCCCCCACCCGTTCAGTGCCGGAGAGTTCCTGCCCCAACGCGGGATGGAAGCGGGGCAGGAGACGGCGAGGGTCTCAGGTGCTCTGAGGACGCCCCGCGCGGTGAGCCTCATGGCCGAAGGTTTGCTGGGCTCTGGTCTATTCATCCTGGTTTTGGGCGTGATTTTACTTTCTCCTTCACGATGAAAGCCAACTGGCTCCGTTCTCTTCTGGGGTCAGGAATTCTGGTCACTCGTCTCCTCCTCTGGTGGGGAATGACTCGGTGTTAAAACGAACTCCCCATCCCGTTATGCCGAAGGCCTTTTACCTGGCCTGCCGGCCCCCTTCTCTTCTCATCTTACCACGGCTTAAAAAAAAAGGTCTGTCTCCAAGAGCCTTTTTCTATTTCAAAAAAGGAAAAAACAGAAACACCCAAGAAACAGATGCCAGTCATAAACCTCTGTTTGGTCTTAATTGAGATTGGTCTTATTAATACATTTAAATAAACCAAGATTATAGGAATGGGGGAGAGGACATGAGGTGTGTTCTTCAAAAGTGTTGTGTATTAAATAGAATTTTTATTTCTGGAAAAAAACATGTTTCACCTTAAACATTAACTTTTAAAATACGTTTTGTCATGAATGGGAGTAGATTTAGTAGTAGCATTGTTCGAGCTTCAAATTTATTGTCACAGTGTTTGATAAGTCTACACTTTTTTTCCAGAATGGATGCACTGTGACAGCTATTCCGAGAGAACGTATGTGTTAGTAAGGATTATCTATCAGTGGTATACCTTTCATACTTCAGACTCTAAGGGATGCTTTCTTGAACATTCATTTAACTGGAATTAATACTGGGTAGTCTTCTCTTGCTTGGGATGATACAACTGTATCAAGAAAATATCAACCAAAAAAATGTTCACATCTAGATGATTTAAATTATTCTCCAACATGTACATTATAAATGAGTATCATATTTGAAATACATACCAAGTTTTTAAGTATTAAATCTGGACAGTATTTTTGATTAGCTAATGGTGCAAGCTCATTGTAGGCCACAATAAATATTTTAGAAATTTTAAATAAATTTTTTTGGAAATGAAAAGAACAGCACCAAGGTTCTTGCCCTGGATTCTGTTATAGACTGAGGCCCAAACAAGTGATAATAAAATACCTGGGGCGGTCACTTAGCTCAGTTGGTTAGAGTGCAGTGCTAACACCAAAGTTATTGGTTCAATCCCTGCATGGGCCACTGAGCTGTGCCCTTCACGACTAGATTGAAACAACTACTTGACTTGGAGCTGATGGGTCCTGGAAACACACACTGTTCCCCAATTAAAAAAACAAACGAACCCCATGCCCTAACATTCATTTCAAATTGTGTGGTATGAAAAGTGATGATGTGCTAGGTACACAAGTGGAGAACAACAAAATTCTGTAAAGTCTATTTCAACTGGGCTCAAGGTAGTAGTGTTTTACAGTTATTAAACCAATTCTTGGAAAATTTTAATGCCAAGGATGGCCAAAATAGGAAGAGGGAAAATAATATTAGTGGTACTAAATTATTTAACACCTTTTGTATGTCAGGTGGTGTGCTGGGTGCTTTATATATATTACTACTTAATCCTTACTGTAACCCCAAAGGTAGGTACTATTTTCTTGTAGCTGAGACAATTGAAAGTGGTAAAGCTGGATAAGAATCTCGATCTGACTTTTTATTCATTTTGTTGAGAGCATACTTCATTGGAAAGTTAATGTGTCTCCTTTTATCAGTCACATCTTTATTAATTTAACTTGAGGATTTCTGGAATAGCAATGTTACTATTACAAACATTATATAGTCCTTACTGTGTGTCAGGTAGCGCTGTCCATATATCCTCAAAAGTATGTGGGCGAATATACAAGAATAAATTCAAAATGGATTAAAGACTTAAATGTAAGATCTGAAACCATAAAACTCCTAGAAGAAAATATAGGAAATAAATTTGCCGACATCCTTAGTAATATTTTTACTGATATATCCCCTCGGGCAAGGAAGTAAGAGAAAAAATAAACATATAGGTTTACATCAACGTTTTTTCACAGCAAAGGAAACCATCAGTAAAACAAAAAGGTATCCTACTGAATGGGAGAAGATATTTGTCAATGATATATTGGATAAGGGGTTAATATCCAAAATTTATAAAAAATTCATTCAACTCAACAATAAAACAAACAACCCAGTTAAAAAATGGGCAGAGGAAATGAAGAGACATTTTTCTAAAGAGGACATACAAATGGCCAACAGACATGAAAAAATGCTCAACCTCACTAATTGTTAAGAGAAACGCAAATAAAAACCACAATGAGATACCACCTCCGGTCAGAATGGCCATCATCGATAAATCAACAAACAACAAGTGCTGGCAAGGATGTGGCGAAGAGGGATCCCTCGTACACTGTTGGCGGGATTGCAGATTGGTACAGCCACTATGGAAATCAGTATGGAGGTTACTGATCTCAAAAAACTGGAAATGGAACTACCTTATTATGACCCAGCAATTCCACTCTTAGGTATCTATCCAGAGAAATCCAAAACGCTAATTCGAAAAAATATATGCACGTCTATGTTTATTGCAGCACTATTCACAATAGCCAAGACATGGAAATGACCAAAATGCCCCTCCGCAGGTGACTGAATTAAGAAACTGTGGTACATTTATACAATGGAGTATTACTCGGCCATAAAGAAGAATGAAATCTTACCATTTGCAACTATATGGATGGATCTAGAGAACATTATGCTAAGTGAAATAAGTCAACCGGAGAAAGACAAATACCATATGATCTCATTTATGCGTGGAATCTAAAAAATAGAATAAGTGAGCAAACTAATCAGAAACAGTCTCAGAGATATAGAGAAAAAACTGAGGGTTGCTAGATGGTTGGTGGGTGAGGATGAGGGAGAAGGTGAGGGGATTAAAAAGCACATATTGGTAGCCACAAAATTGCCACAGGGATACAAAAAGACAGTTTGGGAAATATAATCAACAATGTTGTAAAGATTTTATAGGATATCCGATGGACACTTGTCTTATTAGGGAGACTACTTCATGAATGGTGCAGATACCTGACCACTGCAGTGTACACCTGAAGCTGAATAATAATGTCAACTATAATTTAATTATATGTATTCACAGGATGTGGAGTACAGCATAGAGTCAGTGGAATTGTAACAGTTATATACGATGTTAGAGGGGTAGTAGATTGGGGGAGAGGGGTTATCACTGTGAGGGGTGTAAATGTCTAACTCTTACATTGTTTTGTACACCTGAAACTAAAAAAAAAGCTGACTACAAAACAAAAGTATGTGGGCTAGCTACTATTCTTTGTTTTATAGATGAGGAAATTGAGGCATACTGATAAATAATCTGAACCAGATAATACCTTAGGTGATAGAACCGGGACAAAAATTTGAGCCGTCTGGCTCTAGAATCTATACTCATGCACAACAGGATTCTGGCCTCTCTGGCTGCCTCTCTGGTTTCTTTGTTTTTAATGTTTATGCAGATACATGTAGGATAAGTTTATGATGTCCTATACCAGTGTTTTGTGTAAACAATTACGTAGTACTAATCATACTTAACACTGAGAGCTTCTACATTCCAACTCCCCATTCCAACATTTAAACATCTCACATAATCCTCAACACAATCCTAGGAGATAGATACTATTACTTTATGCTGTATCACATTTGTGAGGTACGTTTGTTGTCTTCAAAGTGCTTTCACAAAATAATCCTTTTGATTCTATTATGTCAGTCAGAGGTATTATCACTTAATTTTATTGCTGAAGTTCGGATGATTAGCATGTGTGGAGCTAAAACTCAAACCAGAGCTGCAGATTCCTGTGTACACTGCTTTTTGCACTGTACTGGTCTTCTCCACAGCAACCAAAATGAACTCTTAAAAACAAATCAGATTATGCCACTTCTCTGCTTCCATTCACACTTAGAATAAAGTGTACACTCCTTGTTATAACCTAAACCTTTTGTATATAATGGAAACAGCATGGATGTGAGAGTCAGTTTTACCTTGCTCTGCCTCTTATTAGCTCTGTGGACTTGTACAAGTTACTTCACTTATCCGAACCTGTTTCTTCATCTTGTAAAATTGGGGAGAGCACCTATCTTACAGGGGTGAAATAACTTATATAAAATACTTAGCACATTTTCATGCTCCTAGTAAATACTCAGTAAATAACAGCTATGATGTGTCCTTCCTCCTCCCCTCTATAGCTCCCCTCTGCTTTGGCTTTCAGCAAATGATATTAAAATGATCTGTTTGTCTGCTAGTGTCCCTCATCCAACCATAAACTCCTTGAGGGCAGGGACCATGCCATATTTATTTTTCTATCCCTGAGGCTTGGCACATAGTTGGGACTCACTTAATGTTTATTGAACTATGTTCATTTGAAAAGTCATCGAGAACCTTTTTTCTTGGTAATCCTATTGCCTGAAGATTTTGGACACGCTTCGTCACTGGGTGTGTTATTCAAGGGCTCCTGGATTGAACTAGAGGATGTGATGTGAGGAGAGATGGGTGGAGAGCCAGGTGAAGATGCCAGGGAAGCCTCCACTCTGCAGGAATGAGTGGGTGTGTGCATGTGTGTGGAGGTGTCTTGGCTTTTTATATATAAGTGTCAGGGTGTGTGTTTGAGTATAAGGATTAAACCTTATCAGGCCAATTGTCACATTGCTTCTTAACAAGGAAGAAGAGAACTTTCCCCCCAGAAGTTGTTTCAAACATATAAAAATAATATTAATTACAGTTGATATAATCTCCCTGTCATTTATAAATAATAATTACATGGCACAATAACAGTGATTATGCTATCCCAAAATGTCAGATGAACTTGGTTTGAAGTTTCATTTAATTACATCAGTAAAAAATTAAATATGCTCAGCCTTTCTTGTTTATAGCATGGGCATTCACTCACAGAAAAATAAACATTGCTTAGGACTATAATGAAATTATAATTCTTTTTAATCAGCTGGGGTTTTTTTACAGTTTAATTCTACCATCCATGAATTGCTAATCAAAATATAAATAAGGCACACTTAAGGATTTTTTTTAAGGAATATATGTTGTATTCAATGTTTCCCCCCAATCTTTTATTATGAAAACGTTTAAACATACAGCAAAGTCAAAAGAATTTTATAGTGAACATCTGTATACCTACTTCTTATAGTCTACCATTAATATTTTATTATGCTTTATTATCACATATTTATCTATCTGTCCATCCTTCTATCCATCTATCCACCAGTCTATAATATTGAAATGCTATTATATTTGAAGAGTTTGAGCTGTATATTCTGTGTTTATTTTAGGTCAGTTATTTTTTTCCTTTAAATAATAGCAGATAATTCTTAGGAATGAATTTTAACTGGTTTATAATGTTCTGAAAACATTGGGATATCAGATGTAAATAAATCTGTTTGTCTCCTTTATCTCTAGTTCCAAAAGATGAGTCGTGGATATTCAGAAAACAACAATTTCCTGAATAATAACAACCAAATGGTGTTGGACATGATTCTTTATCCATTAATCGGAATCCATCAGACCATTAACTGGGAAACTGTAGCAAGGCTTGTGCCTGGACTAACACCCAAAGAGGTAAATAACAGTCCCACAGATATCTCCTAGAAAAATCAGAAAAAGTAATCAATTTCAAGGAATGACTAGTAAGAGAGAAACATATTTGAGTTTTACATATTTATATGCAGGTAGAATTACTGAATGTTCATATGATTTGACTTGACTAGATACAAACTATGTAAATTATATAATCTATTAACCCACCTGGTATGTTTAAATTCAACTGTATCCACATGTTTACACAACTGAAAATTAACTAGCAATATCTTAATTTAAGCAATAGAGGTGTTCCTATAAAATTATGGGTCCTATAAAATTATGGATAGGTAAAATTTTTGCAAATAAGATTTTATGTTATTAAATCCCTAATGCTGTGAGTGATATACAGAAAAAACTTAAAAACTTCCAATGTTGACTTAATTATTTTTATCATAATGCAAGTTAAATGAGCAGTAACAGTACTAGGTATAAACACACCTATACCACCATAAACTTAATTTACATTTAGACACAAGTGAAAACTAAAACCAACACAATTCAAACTAATAATGCTTACTTAATGTGATAAGTAATAGTGTTTTGCTGAAATGAAATTGCTGATTGTAACACAAATATTGTGCGGTCTACTGTGGCATAGAATTTTATACATTCAGCCAGTACTGCCATGTGCCTTTCAAAGCCTTCATTCTTTCTCCACTTTTTAAGAGAAGCCTTACGTTGAAGCCTTACTATGAAATGTTACGTTGCACCATGACATTACATGACTTCCATTGGCACTAATGCATCTCTTCTCTACCAAGTCCCTTTCCTACCTTTGTCCTTTTTTAAAATTAGCCGTGGACAGTTTAAATATTTCTTGGTACGGAAATTACAACTTAACTGTAAACAGACAAGCAAATAGGCACTGAAATATCCTGTCATCTGATCTAGATGATTTTATTAATGTTATTATACTCAGAATCAAAACTTAAAATCTAAAACTTCTTCTAGAGAATTCTTAGATTTCTGGTAATACATCCATGAACCGTAGTTTGAGAACCACTGACATGAGAATTTTTGCTGTTAAAAGGAATCCTGAAGTGGGTGAATCATCTCAGAGTTCTAGACGTAGAAATGACATTGGTGATTTTCCCCAGTAGGTTTTAAACATTTTCACCTCTTCATCATATACATTCAATAAATACTTGTGGAATCAAGTCCCAGCCTCTTCTTTTACAACTGAGAAAACCAGTATCCACAGAGATTACTTGCCTCAGTCATGTTATAGGTCTATGCGAAATGGTGAGGGAACTTATGTTTTAGTGTATATTATCACTCCCTAATTTATATGTTTTCACCATTTGGATTTTTACATGTTAGGCTTTAAAACAGAGCAGACCTGTGAATTCAACTATTTTTCCAACTTTTTGTGAGTATTTTCAAACGTATAGAAAAGTTGAAAGAATAGTACAACACCCCTATATCTTTTATATAGATTCAGCAATTCTAGGTATTTGCTTGATCTCTTTATGTATTTTTTTTCTGTAATGTTTAAGTTTCAGACATCATAACACTTCACTTCATAGACTGCAGCATACATTTAAAATAAGAACATTATTACATAACCACAGTATCATGATCAAACTTAAGAAAATTAACAATAATTCCATCATATCTAATATCCACTGAATATTCAAATTCACCCAATTGAGGAAATTTTTTAACCAAAATACAACTAAATGGTGAATCAGACTAATTTTAAGTAGTGTTAATTTTTTTTTTTTTAGCTGAGCCATTCTGCCACCTGTTGGCAGCTCAGTGGCTGCTCAGCTCGGGCTGGACTCGAACTGCTGTTGCTCAGAGCTCAAACTCTTGAGCGAGCTCTTAACCAACTGAGCCACTCGGCCGGCCCAAGTAGTGTTAATTTTTAAGTAATTTTTTATTACTCAACAAAACATGTCCTTAAAGAACAAACACAAACAGCAAAAAATCAGAATTATAAATCTGACCCTACCTAAAAAGTAAGATAGGGCTAGCCTAGTGGCACATTGGTTAAGAGCTGGCTTAGGATGCCAGAGAGCCCCATTTTGGATCCCACATATGAGGGCCAGTGACACTGCCCTCTACAGCTAAGTTGCTGAACAACAGCTCAACCTGGACCTGGGCTGCTGTGAGGCATAGGCGTAGGCGTAGGCTACAGCCCCTGCTACAGTGGGTTGCCATGGGGTACTGTATGTAGCCAGCAGCCAGCGTGAGCGGCCGTCCAGAAGCCGGTGATTGATCTGCCTCGCCTGGGAAGAGCGCAATGATGGTGCCAACTTGGGCCAGTGAAGCAACGTCTTCCACAACTAGACTGAAGAACAAAAAGACAGCAACTTGCCTGTTCCCCTTCCCCCAATTCCCCACTAAAAATCTTTTTAAAAAAAGAAAAAAGTAAGATATACACCTTGTATATATCCTTCCAGATTATTTTCTGTACATATATGAATTCTTAAAGTGGACATATAAGAAATATACTGTTTGACTGCTTGCTTTTTTGCTTAGTGTATTGTAAGCATCTTTTTCTTTTTTTTTAAGATTTTATTGGGGAATTTGGGGAGGGGAACAGACAAGTTGCTGTCATTTTGTTCTTCAGTCTAGTTGTGGAGGATATTGCTTCACTGGCCCATGTTGGCATTATCATTGTGCTCTTCCCAGGTGAGGCAGATCGGTCTCCAGCCACTGGACGGCTGCTCACAGTGGCTCTTTGCAGCTCACTCCAGCTGCCAGCTGCTCATGCTGGCTGCCGGCCACTCACAGTAGCTTATGGCAGCCCACTGCAGCAGGGGCTGTAGCCTTCACCATCTCCAGCGACTCACGGAAGCCCAGCTCCAGGTTGAGCTGTTGTACACCATCTTAGCTGTAGAGGGCGCAGCGTCACTGGCCCTAACATGGGATCTGAACTGGGGCCCTGCTGCTCAGAGCTAGTGTCCCAAGGCAACTCTTAACCAACACGCCACTTGGCTGGCCCGGAAGCATCTTTTATGTGTCAGTTAATAGACTTCTATAACATTGGGTGACAATAAACTATTCTTTTTTTTTTTTTTTTTAAAGCTTATAAGTGTCTATTTGAGCCAAACTGATGACAATTTTGGGAAGCAAAGTCTCAATGGACTATCCTTAAACAGTTCTTTTATTTCAGCTATATCATAATTTACTGAACCAGACCCTTTTGTTGGATATTTAGGCTATTGTTTTCAACTTTTGACTACTACAAATGCCACTGTAATAAATAACTTATTCTCTTTTCCTTAGGGGATAATCTCAGAAGCAGAATTGCTTGATCAGAGATCTTGTGCGTTTGTAAGGTTTTTGTTACATATTGCCCACTGGAAGGGTCATCCAGTGGGCATGATATACTCCAGTCAGTATAGCATAGCTGAATGCTTGATCCTTACACTTCTCAAGTATTTATGTGTGTGTGTCTTTTCAAAATTCTTATTTATATATAGTTAATAGATGTTATCTCATTGCAGTTTTAATTTACCTTTTTTTAAATCCTGAAGAGTTTGTACGTTTTATAGTATTTATTGTTTCATGTCCTTTTTCAATTTGTGCATTTGTTGTTTTGTTGGTAGTATAATAGTTTTTTATGTATTAAATATATTAACCCTTGATCTAGCTTATTTCCCTGTTTATTTTCAGCCTATTATTAGTACTAGTCACTAGTATACAAATGTTTAAAAGTTTGTTAAAAATCTATGAATCTTTTACTTTGATGTCTGCCTTTTTTGTCATGCTTGTAAAATTCTTCCCATCTGAAGGTTATATATAATACATAGTCACATACATTTTCCTGATTACTTTTATTTTTTACATGTAAATCTTGACTCTACCTGGAGTTTATTTTAGTATTAACTTTGTTCCTAATGACATTTTCTCAACATTTATTGAATATTTAATTCTTTATTACAGGTTTAAAATTCCACCTTCAGATCTATTTCTGGATTTACTATTCTATTCTAATCCATTGACCTCGTCATCTAATCCTATTCATAGTTTCATATTGACTTATTTTCAATATTGTTTTAATATGTGATGGACAAAACATCTTATTTTTAAAAATTTGTTGAATGTTCTTTCACTTAATCTTCTGGATTATAATTTTTTATCCATTTTGAAGATTACCTGTTGGTATTTTAAAAGTGGAGAAAGGATGAGTTAAGATTTTTTTAGATAAGTATTTAACTTAACTGAAATAATGTAACCAATTTTTACAAAATGACTACACCATTTCACATTTCCACCAGCAGTGTATGAGGGTTCCCATTTCTCCATATCCTTGTCAACACTTTTATTATCTGTTTCTTTTATTATAGCCATCCTAGTGGGTATGAAGTGGTAACTCATTATGATTTTGATTTCATTTTTCTGATGGCTAATGATGTTGAGTATCTTTTCATGTTCTTATTGGTCCTTTATAAATCTTCTTTGCCAATTTTTTAATTGGGTTACTTGTCTTTTTATTATTGAGTAGTAAGCTTTCTTTATATACTCTACATACAAGTCTCTTGTCAGATATATGATTTGCAAATATTTTCTCCTCTTGTGTGGGTTGTCTTTTCATTTCCTTGATGGTGTCCTTTGAAGTACGAAGTTTTAAATTTTGATAAAGTCTAGTTTATCTAATTATTTTTTATTTTCTAGGTTTTTTTGGTGTGTGTGTGAGCATGTATGTGCTTGTAGTGTCATATCTAAGAAACTATCACTTAATCCAGGGTCACGAAGATTTATACCTGTGTTTCTTTTTGAGAATCTTATAGTTTTAGCTCTTATATTTAGTCTTTGATCTATTTGAGCCAATTTTTATATATGGTGTGAGGTAGGATGTCCAACCTCATTCTTTTGCATATGAATAATGTAATTTTTGGTAAAACACAAAAAAACAATTTAACAATATAGTTTAAATTATTTACAATTTACTTGCTTTTTTGTTTAAGCAATCATGTATTCAGAATTCAGAATTTTCTTATTTTTTTAACTATTAGAAATTGCTGTAAGCTTTGTTAAATAAGATAAATTACATTTAGTTTCCAGTATAGCTATGAAGTTTACCTGAAGGATATCAGAAGAATTTGTGTTTTAAAAGCCTACCTACCACTTTCTTTGTGTTACAAAAAATAAACTCATTTTGTAGGAAACATGGATTCAGTTAAACCGTTTATATTCTTTATCCTATACATGTACATGTGAACCTGTACATTTCTCTAATGATGTTCTAGCATTTGTTGTGCTTTATTTGCCCAGACTTTCACTGCTACTTTTTTTAATACTGATACAAAAATATTTTCTGTTTCAATGATCATATTATTTTTATTTTCTTTTAAGACTTTGTTTAAAAAGATGAACATATTGATTACATAATATTTCAATCTACACTTACATTGCTTTTAAATGCCTTTTTAAAAAGTATTACTTCACTTTTAAAGCCTTGATTAGGTATTTCTTTGTATAATAGTAATAATAACTGTATGAACAATCTTTCCTGAAAATAGTGCTTAATATCTGATGTGTGTATGTTAAGTATTTGTATAATAGGTGAATGATGCCATTCCCAATGCATTATTCATTTAATATATACACATATATGAGGTATATATTTTTCTCCTTTTGCACTTCCCAGATTACTTGGTCTGCTATGGAGTTTGCCATCCATGTTGTTGTTGATGGAGATTTAAAAATGGATGCTATAGCAGTGTTGTTTGATCAAGATCCATAGTAAGGAAGGCATTTTATGTTGTGATGTAGTGCACACATAGGAAGGACATTTTCGTGAAGGAGTACTAAGTCTTACTATGCTTAATGCACTCTTGATATTTTTTAATCTACTTATTTTCTTTCCATTGCTAACCTAGATCTTCTAAATTGATTTCATGACTGACTAATGGGTTAGAGGGGAACACTGCGAGGACCAGCTAAACCCAAATATGTGGCCATGAAGTGCTAGTACATATTTTGTGCAAGGCGAACCTCATTGTTAGTAGAGACAAAGTCTTCATTATATTAATTTTTAAAACCTAGTGTCACAAATCAGATATTTTTTGGATTACTTTACATTGAAGGTTAGAATTTGGTCTTATTCCTAGTGGAAACTCAGTTCATGTAAAAATATAAGCCAAGTTTCTAACTAAATTATTAAAATTGTCAACTGCTAATAGATGCAGACCCCAGGGAAATATGGTTGATAAAGGCATTCTTCATTTTTCTACAAGAGCATCAACATGCCTTTGGGTTAAATTTTATTAAAAACAATTCTACCCTGAATTAAAAAAAAAAATTAGGGCCTTTGTGTATTGAAATGTGTGCTAATTTTCTAGAAGTTACCTAATGAATTACTGTTCACTTACAAAAATTAATTATAGAAAAATATCTTCAAATAGTAGGCAAGAAAATATCTTCTCTCTTTTTTTTTTTTTTTTAAAGGATTTTATTGGGGAATTGGGGAAGGGGAACAGACAAGTTGCTGTCCTTTTGTTCTTCAGTCTAGAGGAGGACGTAGCTTCACTGGCCCATGTTGGGATTATCATTGCGCTCTTTCTGGGTCAGGCAGTCGCTCGCCTGCCATTGGATGGCCGCTCACGAAAGCTCACACCCGCTGCCAGCCAGCCCTACTGCAGCCTACGCCATCACTGGCAATCCACGGTAGCCCAGCTCCAGGTCGAGCTGTTGTTCACCATCTTAGCTAAAGAGGGCGCAGTGTCACTTGCCCTCATGTGGGATTCCAACTGGGCCCTGCTGCTCAGAGCTGGCATCCCAAGCCAACTCCTAACGAACGCGCCACTCGGCCAGCCCTCTTCTCATTTTTTAATTAAAAAAAAAAATCCAGACCTGCATTTTCTTCCTTTTATATCATTACAGTGTGCAAAAAGGTTTGATGAACTGAAGAGCAGTGGAACCTCACCTGTTGACAACCAGTATAGTTCCCTAATGGCTGGAGAGAGTCCTGTTGAAACTTTAGCTACTTATATCAAATCCTCACTTCTTGACATACAGGGAGAATTTCAGGAGACTCCGATTGGTCAGGATGCAGTTTCCAAAACAGGTAGGGTTTTAAACACAATGCAGTACTTGTTATTATGATAACTCTACAAAATATTATGTATTCTAATCTTTTTTTAAAGGCTAATATAAACATTGGTAGAAAAATCTGTTAGTTTTTGTATCTTCCTGGATTTTAGATATTTGTCTTTGCTATATTTGAAAGAAAAATTTTAATGTTAATATGCAGGTCAAACACTATTACCAATAAAAGCTCTTTACTATATCAAAATTTACTACTCTAATCTATTAGCCTTGGTATGTCATAAATCTTAAAGGGATTTGACCTATACCTTTTAATTCCTTTTTTTTTACTGAGGGAACCTGCTTGTCTCTTGTGTTATCTTTTACAGCTATCTCTTATTGCGGTCAACAATAGCTTCAGATGACACAGTGGCAGGGTAGAGAAGATGTTTTCCACAATTACTTTGGAAATAATAACTGGTTTTAGAAATCCTCAGAAGTGTAATGAATTATTTTAATCTCAGCAGCAGCAGAATATTGATGTAAAAATTTACTTCAGGAAGAGAAAACTGTATTGACTTTTGAACATTTGACTCCTGTCCATACACACCATATCAGTATTTTTTAAGCCTTCAGCATAACTTAAGCAATTTGTGGTGCCTTTTTTGGACTATTGCCTTCATATACCTTTAGAAATATTAACGGACATTCCACCTGACAAAATACCATCTTTATCTAGCCTTGGAAACCATGCATTTATAGTGTAACCATTCAATACGTAAAAACCCGTTCTGAGCTAGAAATGCTAACCTGCCCCCCTTTGTTTTTGTATGTGTTTGTTTCTGTATTTAAGGAAGACATAGTATAGCTTCCACAAGGAATTGTTCTTCAGAAAGTGAAAATTGTACTACTCGTAATGGTGGAGAAAAGACTGAAGAATCTGAAGGGTAGGAAGCTGGTTCTTTGCTAGATAAGACAATATAAATATCAACTTATAAAATATATGATTGGTGGTTGTATACATGAGTTACTATAATTTAAGAAAGTTCACATTACACAATTGCTGAAACAATTGAAATCAGGTTAGTTCATGTGTTGAACTGTAAATAATTGCTTGATAGCTAAACATAAGGCTTATTTGTGTTATTTATAAATTGTACTAGTTTTCAATTTTAAAAATTCATTTTCATTTTTTAAATATCAGAAATAACATCTATATAAAACTTTGAAAAGTAAATTTTAAAACCCAAAGAAAACTCTCTGCCATTAGATCTCCAACTTCATTAAAGAAACTGGATATATATTTTAGAACTATGTATTTAAATATAATTACTCATTATAGAAACATTTAAAAATTAGAATATTTATTTCAATATATTGCAAGTTTTGAGAGTTTTGTGTTGTTTTGTATATTTTACATACAATAAATGGCACATATTTTAAATATTCACTTGGATGAGTTTTAACAAATGGGTTCACCATGTAAACAGCACCCAAATGCAGATGTAGAACATTTTCATTGTCTCTAACAGTTCCTTTGTGTATTTTCAGTTTTGATAAATTCTTATAATAGTTTTATTACTATATAAATCACATACCATAAACTTTACCCCTTTGAAAAAGTTCTGGAGATAGATGGTAGTGATGATTGCTTAACAATGTGAATAAACTTAAGACCACTGAACTGTACACTTAAAAATGGGTAACATGGCAAATTTTATGTTATGTATATTTTACCACAATAAAAAATTCACACTTTTGAAGTGTATAGTTCAGTGATTTTTAGTTTATTCACATAGATTTTTTTAAATTATGGGTTTGTTTGTATGGCACAAAAATTTTATCAGATAATTATTTTACTGGAATTATCTAGTATTCATATTGTGGTCCAAAAGCCACAGAAACTTTATGCTTCATTAGACCAGCCATTACCTGTTTATATTTTAACTATAATTTCTTTGGAAGGACAATTTGTGAAGAGTATTAAATTCCCTTGACTTTGATAGAGTGTTCATTAATAATCCTTTTTTTGGTAAACCAATTATTTTTCAAATGTAATTTTTTTGTGTTAGAAATTGATGAAGTTCAATTAAACACACATTAGATTCATATTATAGGACAGTGTATCTCTTCCTATTTAATTGCTTCCTTTTGTAATTACATGAAGGCAGGTATGGATCACACTGATGTTTCTTTTGGAGGTGGTGTCATTTTCAAAGGAAAATAAATTCAAGGAGTATATAATTTTTGAAGCAATCTTTCTGATGTATTACCTAAACTAATTCTTAAATTATTTTTAAAATATATAAATAAGCACATTGTAGTTTTAAGAATTATTTTAACTACGTTTACTAATTTATATTTAACCAAGGCCTAGACACAAACTTTCTTGCTGTCAAAAATAACTAAGTAACCATGCTATTTTTTTATTCTTTAATGAATAATTTTAACTGTTTTTCCTATTCATTACTAGTAAAAAAATTTTAGTGTTTAAACTTTAACTCCGTTTCATACCCATAGTCATGTAAAAGTGCTGTTTTGTGTTCATCAGTAGAATTAGAATGTATTATTTAATTTTTCTTTGTGAATTGGTGTTATTTTAAAAAAATTTATAATTTACTTATAACTTCAAAATAATAAATTTAAACCCTGTAAATTATGAGTCTCATAGTAAAAGCATTTTTGTTTGTTTTCTTAATAGCTTAACTAAAATTAGCCATAATCTAAGACATAGATCAGATTAGCAAGATACTTACGAAAAATTCTGAATGTCAAATCCTATAAAACTGATTTGTGGTCAAAACCTTCCAAAACATCTTGTTCTCATACTTCCAATAAATGTCAATATTCTTGGCTCCTCTTCTAAAACTCTAATAATTTCATTTCTGTGTAATATTTTTATAAAGGCCAAACATGGTGATCCATGTATGTGATGAAGCAAAAAACTTGAAAGAAGATTTTATTTGCCCACGAGATCTTTTGATATCAGAAATGAAGTACTTTGCTGAATATTTATCTATGGATGCCCAGCGCTGGGAAGAGGTGGACATTTCAGTTCATTGTGATGTTCACATTTTCAACTGGTTGATTAAATATGTTAAAAGGAACACTAAGGAGAATGAAGATTGTGAGATTCCCGTTTTAGGTAAAAGACAATCTATTGCTTATTTTATAGCGAAATTTATGTGTCACCTGGTAGTTGTTTCAGGTCAAACATGAAATTTGGAAAATTGTTTGACTATTAATATTTATGCTCAGATTAGTAACCCCCCTTTAGGAAAGTGATACCTCATCCTTTTTAGTAAATTATAATGAATTTATGGCAAGTGGACAGGTCTTAGATTAGCAGTTCTCACTGTAGGGTACCTGAGCCACTAGAAACCTAGAGATCTTTTTAGAGCATCCATCAGGTCAAGACAATTTGCATAATAATACCAAGATGTTATTTATCTTTCTGTCTGTGTTGACATTTGTTCAGGTGGTGAAGAAGTAAAGGAGGGTAAAACTATTAGAGCTTTAGCACACATCAAGGCTGAGGCACCAAACTGTGCTAGTGGCCACAGTGTCCTTCAGCACCATGCGCTCATAGTAAAAAGAAAACAATCCAGATTCACTTAAGAATATCCTTGATGAAGCAGTAAAAATTACTAATTTTATTTACTTTTGATGCTTGAGTATACATCTTTTTGAAAAATTTTTAAAAAAAATTAGTTTCAGGTGTACAACACAGTGCAATAGTTATACTTTTTACCTCTCAAAGTGACAACCCCCCCTCCCGAGTATACATCTTTTTTAATATTCTATGAGATGACATGAGAAGTACACTTCTGCTGCACACCAAAGTACAAGTATGATGTTTGTCTTGAGGAAGTGCGCTTGTGCAGTTGTTTGAGTTGCAAGCTAAACTAGCAGCTTTTTTAAAAAAAAAAAAAAGCATTTTTACTTGGAAGAATGACTGACAGACAAGTTATGGTTCTCCAGACTGAGCCATATGGCACATATTTTCTTAAAAATGAATTAAGTGATCTGGTTAATTAAAGGGAAACAACTGACAGTATTTGTTGCCAATGATAAAATTCAAGCTTTGAAGTGAAAATTAGAGTTTTGGAAAACTTATATCTGCTTTCATGTGCTTGAAAGCTTCTCAGTATTTAAAGCCTTTTCCTAATGAGGCTTGTGGTCATGTTAACAAATGTGAGTTTTTTTAATATATTGTACAATGAAATGTTTCAACATTTGGTATATCTTAATAACTCAGTGAACCAATAATTTCCAATGACCAGTGCATTATGTTAAAAAAAAAAATCATGCATGGGTTAAAGATCCATTTAAAGCACAAGATAAATAAGTGGATTTTGAAATAACAGAATAGGTAAAGTTGATTAATATGATTTCAGACCCCATTGCAACTAACCTATAAGAAACTATGATTTATCAAGTTTTGATGTAACATCAAAGAAGACTACCCACAAATTGAATGTAGAAACAGATATGAGAATTCAGCTCTCTTCTAATAAGACAGACATTGAAGAAATTCGCAAAAATGTCAGCATTACTCTTGTCACCAAATTTTTTTCATTTTGGAAAATAGTTATTTTTCATAAAAATATGTTAACATGTAATGAGTTTATTACTGTTCTTTTTAAATGAATTAATAAATGTTTAATTTTTTTTCCATTTTAATTTCTAATGTGGCAGATACTGATAAATATAACCCATATAAACAAAAGATCTTATGGGGGGCCCTCAGTGCTGGTTCAAAATATATTTTTATCACCCCCTGGCAGAGTGGGAAACAGCTCTTTAGGAGTCTCAGTTTTTAAGATTGCAGAGAGGTCTTTGCAATCTTAAAAGTTTAAGAACTAGTATTCTAGATGATAGGAAGAATAATTACTGAGTAATCTTTATTGGGTATAGACTTGTATAGGAAATCACACTTGGGATTTAATAAAGTCTTTCTGTGTACTAGAATTGTTATTTATAGCAATACCAAAATATTTCTAAACTCCTATGAGTAAATAAATCTATACTGACAGTATAAAAGTTTTCTGAGAAAGTTTATAATTTATTACATTTTAGTGACCAAATTAATGGAAAAGATTTCTAGTGATCCTTAAACAAAAATTAGAAGAGTGCTAAATAAAAAATTTCAGCCAGTCGGAGTCCAGAGGTTTCAGACCACCCAGATATGATATGTATCTATGAAATAAAAATCAAAACATGTACAGAGAAAAAAACCTGTTTGAGTCATCATATTTATGTGTATAATTAAAGTAAAAGAAGTAGAGCAAAAACCCATCTTTGACCTTAAGTCAGTGACTAGTGTAAACTTTATAAAAGCAAAGCAATCTTTATTCTAACCAGGAAAACTACCCAAATGCTTAATTGAATCTCTGATAATCCAGACAGTGGGTCTTAACTGGATGGGTCATATTACAGTTTTCTAAGGAACTTTTTTTCACCAGCTCCTTCCTCCCTTCACCATTTCTGTTTGAGAACCTTTAATCTAGAATTGTTATTTAAGGAAAGATTGGGATTGCATATTTTAATCATTGTCTGTATAGTTCTTTAAAAGGATTATTTTAGTATTATAATGGTAAAAATCACAGTTTGTTTGTTTTTTGTTTTTTTTTCTTAAATATACCTCATGGGAGATGACAGGATTATTAAACAATGGCGTGAGCTGGCATCCCCCTTTCCCTGAGCAAGCATCTGAAGGCTCACTCAGTCTGCCTTTAGGAAGTAAATTTAGCATTTTTACAGTAATAAATTTTATATTATCGTTCAGAATCTTTTTCATTAAGTATTTATTTCTAACAAGCATTGAACTCCTTTTGAAATACTTCAATAATAAGTGCTCTCATTAATCATTTAAATTTTTTCTCATTTATTTTTGAGTTATATCAACTTTTTTTAAAAATAGGTATTTATTGTTTTCTTGTGCCTTTCTTTCTGTCTTTCTTTCTTTGTTTCTTAAAGATTTTATTGGGGAATTTGGGGAGGGGAACAGTGTTGGGGAATTGGGGAAGGGGAACAGCCAATTTGTTGTCCTTCAATCTTAGCTGTGGAGGGCACAGCTAGCTCAGCTCCAAGTCCAGTCACCATCCAGCCTCAATTTTAATTATCTTTTTCTGTGGTTTAGTTAAGGAGAAGTTTTCATGTGCCATATCTTTAGCTGGGATCTTTTTACTTGATACAAATCTAATTCCAGGGCAGACTTCCTGTGTGTTTTCTCTATACCCTGAGTTTTAACATTGTGTTTTCTTAATTTCATGTCTATAAGCCATAGTAGGTTATATTAAATTGTTCTTATTAAAGTAACATCCTCTTTTAAGATGAGAAAGAGCCTGTTTTAAGGAGGTTAAGGTACAAAGCAAAAGGAGAATTTAATTTTTTGTTCTTTTTTTTTTTTTAGAGCCAGGAAACGTCGTTTCAATTCTTATTTCTTCAGAGTTTTTGAAAATGGATTCATTGGTAAGTATTAATAAAAGCTCTTCTGTTCACCCATGCTTGATTTGACATATAACTTCATTTTTCCTTCAAGTGTCTAGAAAATTCTAAGTCATCTTTCTGAAGTAGTTCTTAATGCAGGAGTGTGATTCCATTAGACTGAATTGCTCATGTTTGGAGGTACTTTGTTCTTTGGAGGTAGGTTGTTAAGGCTACCATGTATCGTTTGTATTTTATGCCTATAAAGCAAGCAATTTATACTGAAGGAGTAGCTCTCTGTTGTATTAGAAGAAACTAAACAGAATTAACTTTATCCTAAAAGGGAATTTGCTCTAAAACCAAATTAAATGAAAATTAATTGGAATATATTTAACTATTTAAGTAATTTCTTTGCTTATGTGTGTCTTTATTTGTGTCTTTAATTTATAGTTCAGCGAATTAAGAATGAATAAATACCCAATTATTAAACAATATAATTTTGTATGTGTAAATGAGATGCTCATGTCTGTTGTTTAAAAGTAGTTGATGAAACATAAAAGCACAATATATGCATATACGTTCAATCTCTAACATTAAATAGACTCGTTTTCTTCTTATTTCATGAATTTCTTTATCATTCAAATGTTTTTACATGTTTTTGTGGTTTTACTTTAAATAAATATTTGCTTTTAGCACCTGGTAAAGCTACACAGGACAGAATACTTCTTTGCTATATTAACGGATATGAAGTTTGATAGTTCGCTGTATTCTTTCTGCTTCTTAGTCCTTCCCCCATTCGGTTGCTAGTATTAATTGCTAAGGTTACAGGAAAACAGAAACTAAGAGTCCTTAACCTCTGAGTTTTGGAATCTAATCCCCAAATGATAATTTTTATGCCATGTACAAAATATTTGGAACAAAACATGATTAGCCAGTGCTAGTTTTCCTCAGAACCCAAATCTACATCAAAAAGTAAATAAATATACCTTAGGTTGGAGAAAGAGAAATAAGGTCAGAGAGCAAGCACAACACAACCGAGAAAACCCTGAAGTGACTGAAATTATGTTTCTGCTGCTAAGAGAAATGGAGACATAAAATTGTCACTAAGTTTAGTTATAGGAAGTCACATATCCTATATACTTGAGTTTTTGGACTAAAATTTATACCTGGCACAACCGTGAAAGATGCTCACTGCATTATTGTTTGAAATATTTTAAGAAGGTTGAAAATGATTTTTTATGCTATGCAAATATGGTTGTCGAAATTTGACCTGCTGGAGCACTTTGGAACAGTATAGATTAACCCAAACAGGTAAAACCCTGTTAATTCCTAACAATACATGAATAAGGCTTTTAATGCATTTTTGTCTTTGAAAGATATTGATATGACATTTATCCTTCATGCTTCTATTTTCAACATTTATTTTCTACTCTTTTTTTTTAGGTTGAACAATGTGTTCAGTATTGCCACAAAAATATGGATGCGATAGTAGCTACCCCATGCAACATGAACTGTATTAATGCAAATCTTCTTACATGTATAGCTGATCTGTTCACACACAATGAGGTTGATGATTTAAAGGACAAGAAAGATAAGTTTAGGAGGTAATTCTTAATTTTTAATCTAGTGTTCCTATTAGAAGAAATACATTATGTCTATTTCATTTTAGTAAGGTATTTTATTTTTAAAATATATTTACAAATATATTTACATTTTATTTTAAATGAAGTAAAATTTACCCAGAGTTGATGGCTCGAGATAAAAATTAGTAATTAAATTAGTTATTTTGTATAACGTACATATGAGCTTATTGTGGTAGTGAATTATGTGAAAAATTATTAAGACAGGCCTTTGTATAAGGTGGTATGAGATGAGGTCAGCAGTGGTCATATAACTTAGGGGCTGTTTAGGTCATAGCAAGGAGTGTACACTTTATTCTAAGTGTGAATGGAAGCAGAGGAGTGGCATAATCTGATTTGTTTTAGAGATCATTTTGATTGCTATGTGGAAAATACACGTAGACAAGGATATAAGAAGCAAGGAGACCTATTAGGAAGCTAATGCAGTAGTCTGGTGAGAGACAAAAGGGTTTGGACTAGAGTGGAAGCAGTGGAGCTGGAAAGAAGCAGATGGGTTCACAGTAGGTTATTAGATTTGACAGTTTCAAATGGAAGGATGTAGGAAGAGAGAGTATTCTAGGGTTATTACTAGGTTTTAAGGTTGAACAACTAAGTGGATGGTAGTTCATTCACAGAGAGTGGAAAGATTGGGGTGACGGGAATCAAGAGATGAGATTGGATCTTAAGATTATTTAATGTATTTAATATACTTTTAGGCATCCAGGTAGAATGGAAGGTAGATGGATATACAAGTCTAAAGTTTGGGTCAGAGGTCAGGACTTAAAATATAAGAGTAGATGAGGTTTGAAATCATGGAACTGGATGAGGTTGCCTAGCAAGACTATCCTTTCTCCACTTAATTGCAGTATTACCTTTATTATAAATCAAGTAAATATATATGTGAAGTTTGTTTCTGAATTTTCCATATTATTCTGTTGATTTCTTTGTCTATACTTATATCAGTAGCATACTGTCTTAATTATAGTAGCTTTGTGCTATTTTTTGGTATCTAGTAACCTAAATTGTCCAGCTTTGCCTTTCTGCAAGATTACTGTCTTAGTCGTTTTAGGTCCCTTGCATTTCCATATAAATCTTATAATCAGCCTACCCATTTCCTCTTTCTCTCTCTCCTCTCTCTCTCTCTCTCTCTCTCTCTCTCTCTCTCTCTCTCNCTCTCTCTCTCTCTCTCTCTCTCACACACACACACACACACACACACACCTACTAGAATTAATACATTTGTGAAGATATGACATCTTAATAATATTGAGTCTTTCAGTCCATGAACATGGTATAACCCTCCATTTATTTTAGCAATGTTTTCAGTGGAGAGATATTTTTTTCCTTTTCTTAAATTAAATTTATTCCCAGGTATTTAATTTTTTTGGTGCTGTTGTAAATGCTATTTGTATTTATTTCATTTTCTAATTGTTAGCAAGAGAGTAATGATAAAGACTACTCAAAATTTAGAGGAGTGTAGCCAGTGAGAATCCTAAGAAGGAGGAGCTAGTGGGTTCAAGGAAAGAGGATTTCAAACAGGAGGACGTGATTAATTGATCAAATGTGTGGAGTGCTGCTACCATGTAGAGTAAGATGGTAGCAGTAGTCACATTTCTGCCTGTGACCAAGTTGGATTTAGATAACTTTTTTCCAGATGTTTTGCTCTGAACGATTGCTGAAAAATTTAGCAGTAGCTATTAAGGATAGATAGGCTCAAGAAAGGAATTTTTTTTTTAAGAAAGGGAAATATTAGATTATGTTTAATTTGCTGACCAGGAGGATTCATTAGAGTGGGAGAAATTGGTAGTGTAGGGGATTATCCAAGAGTTTGGTCCTTAAGGGGAATGAGACAGAGGGGAGTTATCCAAGAGTTGAATACTTGAAAATGGGATCAGGACACTAAATCCGGATCTGCCCTTTAGTAGCACACGTTACATGAAGGAAAATGGAGACAGAGTGTATACTTGGAATTGACAATTAGTTTAATTAGAATTAATTAGAAGACAAAGTTCAGTCATATTATGCATAATAATGAAGTATTAACATTTATTGAATGCTTAATGCTATATCTGACACTCTTTAAAAACATTATCTCATTTAACCCTCCTAAAAACTTATGAGTTTGCAATTATTATTAACCCCATTTTATAGATGAGGAAGCAAAGTTCAGAGAGATTGAGTCAGTTGTCAAAAATCACATACTGAGTTACTGATAGACCCAGGATTGTTAAATTTCGAAAATCTTCAATCTTGACTATTCTAGAAAAAAAGGACTAAAAGAGAGATAGCTATTCATCAGTCTTATTTTTCTTGTGAAAATAGATTCTTGATCAAGCAGTTCTCATTAGGAGGTTTATTTTACTTAGAACACTAAAACTGCATTATTCTCAAAGATATGCTCTCTAAGGATTTATCTTATTTTCTACTTGTGAAGCTAGGTCAGTGTTTGTTTTCATCACTATTATTTCATCACTATTAAGTTTGTTTTCATCACTATTTAGTAAAGTAGATATACAAAATTAATTTGTTGGTCATTTGTTGTTAATAGTAAACTTTTTTGTAAGAAGATTGAGAGACTATTTGATCCTGAGTACTTGAACCCAGATTCTCGGAATAATGCAGCAACATTATACAGGTATGGTGATGTGTTTTTCTTTGGTATGCTATATAATGCAGCTAAATTCTTTAATTTTACTACACTTAAAATTTTCTTCTCATATGTTTTTGTACCTTTTTTTGTGTGTTATAGATGCTGTCTGTGTAAGAAACTTTTAACAAAAGAAACAGAAAGAAGAATTCCTTGTATTCCTGGAAAAATCAATGTGGATCGACATGGAAATATTATCTACATTCACTTAAGGTGTAGTAAAAATAAAATATATCTTTTAAAATGTGAATTCCTAGTGTATTTATAAAAGCATAACTATTTCTCTAAGGAATAGGATAATATCTTTTCTGAATGTTATCCAGCTTTGGTTTAAAAAGAGGCCACTTTCAAAACAAAGTTGTTTTAAAGGCTATATTTTACTAATTGGGTAAATTTCATTATGTTTTTAAACTTTAAAATAGTAAAAATTGTTGTACATTTATCTTAAAAAATATCTGATTGGTGCCATTAAAATGCATTATTTTCACTAACAGATTTTTAGCTCTCTAAATGTTATGTTGAATTTGACAAGAGAACCAAATTTACTTTCAGGTGAATTTTGATGAATGAGGAAAATTGTCTTCAAAATTGGATTTTCCACAATCTATTTATTCTTCATACTTTGTCAGTATTCCATTACTACGTAGTTCTTTTTTATTCCCCTTTAAGTTCAAAACCAGTTCTCATTTGGAGTTGTTAGTGGAGTATTGTAAAATGGTATAATGTCTTAAAAAAGCAAAAACTTTAAAACATATATTCTCTGACAATATCCTACTGCTAGGAATTTATCCAAAGAGATAATGATGGATTTGTGAAAGCACTTACTAAGGATAGTTATTGCTATATTGTTTAAATAAAAAAAGGAAACACCCAAATGACTAAACTAACTAAAATATATCCATACAATAGTGTATCTATATAAAATACATCTAATCAATTCTTAATGTGCAGCGTTTGAGAATAATGTTGTTAAAGAATATATACTTACATAGAAAGTTGTTAGTGGTAAATTTAGTGAAAAGAAAAACAGGTTATAAAACAAAGCTAGAAACATCTTCACTAAAATGTTATCTATTGTGTTACTTTTGAGTGATAGTATTATGGATGGTTTTAATTTTAATTTGTGTTTGTTCTTTTTTCAATTTTAAAAATGTACAACACTTTTATTAAAGAAAGAGACCTACAATTAATGTTAGATTTCATATTTTAAACATTAAAACAAAAGTACAGAGAAACTCATTTGACCCTACTATGAATAGCACAATCAACTTTAAAATGTTTCATGTTTTTCTCTTGGTACAATAATCAAGAAATCTTCATTAGTTATTGTAATAACTAACTCTTTGTTAGTTATTAGTTATTGTAAAGTATTATATTATATTGTCTTTTATACTTTTTTGTCTTAAGACTTGATTTACCTTTTGAAAATTACATCCATTCGGACAACAATAACTATTATACATATTCTCTATATATTCTGACAGTGGTAACTATGTAAAAAAATTGATATTAACTTCAACATCCATTTTTGTTGTTTTGATCAAAATATTTTCCTGCAAGTCAGCTGTTGATGACATTTTTTAAGTTGTCTTTAAATATCTTAAAACAGATGTGCTTCTGTAATTTTTAATAACATGATGGCATTTTGTTATTTGTTGAATTAAGGACAAAAACGGCAAAACTTAGAAAAGATTAAGGGGCTTGGAAAAAAATAGGAACTTGAGTTACATATGACCATAGCAAATACGGTTTTAAGCCTTTGCTGTTTTTTTAAGTTTATATTACTTAAAAATGTTTATCACCAATATGTGATTGCACATAACTGTATTACTCAATTACTATTGGGTTGTCGGAAAAGTCATGATGCATTTTTGCAACTAAAAGCATAGAAAAAAATACGTCATGACTTTTCTGACAACCCAATAGAAAACATAGAGAACTAATACATTAATTAAATGCTTAGAGGCACCAGTAATTAATAGCAACTTATTTTACAGTATGTAAAATTAGAATAAAAGTTTCATTAAGCAACATATGCCTAAGTCCCAACTGTTAGCCTACTCAAACTATATTTAATTTATAACCCTATAATTGGCCTAGCAAAATAATTTGACATTCAACCTTTCATACCTTTTTCTGTTATCCCAGAAAAAGAAAATAAACAGACTCCCAAATGAAATTTTATCTGCTGTTTGGTGTGGTCCACCCCACAGCCATCAGTTGGGGAATGTTCCTGAATATAAACCACAAACTTAAAAACATTTGCTCTAAACAATTGTTTATATTGCTTGCTTGTAAAATAATATAACAATTGAAGCTCTTTTCCCCAGAGATAAGACTTGGGATGTTCATGAGTATTTGAATAGCCTTTTTGAAGAATTAAAATCTTGGAGAGATGTATATTGGCGCTTGTGGGGAACAGTCAACTGGCTAATGTGTTCAAGATGTTATCAGGTAAGTTTTTTGTTTTGTTTTGTTTTTAATATCCTACTCTGCAAACACTGAGAGCAGGCTTTTTTGATATACATATTAATTAATATGTTTCGATGTGTTTGAACAATATCTGACATCTTTTGAAGAAATTAGTGGCAAAAACAATGGTGCTATTAAACATTGCTTACATTAGACTTAATTTCTCTTGTTTCTTCTTTTTTATTTTTATTACTGAAACAATCAATGATTTGTTGAATTTTTAGAAAACCGACATGTTTTAAGTGACCGAATACAATTTTTTCAATGGAAAAAAAATAGAATCCTTGTTTGCCTTTAATTATTTCCAGCCAAACTGCTTCTCTGTTAGCAGATAAATTTCTTTAGAAATCCATAAATACCTTTGCAGATAGGGTGCTATTGATATGTGCCCTTCTTGTTATAAAGGTTGTGTTCCCAAAAAGGTTTTGTTCATTTTTTAATAAATGAAGCCTATAATAAAAACGCAAGAAAGCTTGCTATTTGAAGATACCTATAATAAATCCTTTTATAGAATAAATAGAACTTTATAGGTCACATTCATTCCTAATTAGACTTAAATATAAATCCAGAGTGGTCCACATGAAATTTTTTGAATCCCTGCTCCCAGGAAGGGAAGGAAGAGCTGTTTATTAAAACCTTCAGAGTAAGATTTTCCAAATCATGTAAGTTTACACCCAATGGACTGCCTATGTCCCCACAATTTTTAATAATTGGATTTATTGAAGTAAAATTTATATACAGTAAAATTTACCCTTATACAGTAAAATTTATTCCTTGTATGAGATTGACAAATTCATAGTTATATAACTACCACCACACTAAAAGCATAGACCACTTCCATCACCTAAAAATTTCCCTTGTACCCCTTTTTTAGGCAATTCCTTCTCCTACTCCAGACTCTGGCAACCACCAGGTCCTATTTAAGAGTCTTTATCACTTTTTTTTTTTAATTTGGATTTTATTTGGATTTTTCCAGATGTTAGACAAGTAAAATTATACCGTGTTTCATTTTTTGAGTCCAGCTTATTTTGTTTAGCAAAATGGACTTGAAATTTATTCACATTGTATCTTTCAGTTTGTTCCTTTTTAGTGCTAGGTAGTACTCCATTGTATGAATGTATCACAGTATGTTTATCTACTCACAAGTGAAATACTTTGTAGGTGTTTTTAGTTTGGGGCCATTATGAAGAAAGCCACCATTAACATTTCCATATAAGCTTTCATGTGAAGGTAGGTGTTTATTTCTCTTGCATAATAACCTAGAAGTAGGATTGCTGGATTGTATGGCAAATGTAAGCCTAACAATTTTCCAAATTCCCTGAACTTTCATTCCTCCCAGCTGTGCTTGAGAGTTCTAGTTGTTCCACATTTCACTAGCACTTGATATTGTCAAGTTTTGTTTTTGTTTTGTTTTTGTAACTTAGTAGGTATGTAGTAGCCTTTCCCACAGTAGAGTATCACTTGTAATCAAGGATGTCAGGCTTCTAAAACCAGACTTATTTAGCATGTCAGAACACAGAAACCTTGAGGGATCTTTTTCCTCTTCTTCATAGCAAACTAAATATTGATTTGATTTATAATATTTAATATTTATTGTGGAGAGTTCATAAACTCAAAATATTTGTATGCAAAATGCTTTGTGTATGAGTTGTGTACCTTATAGCTTTTATCAGACTCAAAAAAATTTAAAAACCATTTGAAAATCATAATTGGAAGTAACAACTAGGATTCTGAATTATAGAACATCCTTTTTTGCTTTTGTGTTCAAGATCAGTGCTTAAAATTATTAATTTTCTTTATTTTACCAACTTATAAACATCTGAAACCTTACTATTAATTTTATAATTAAACCTTGATAAGTGTCTTCACCTATGATTCAGTTTCTCCATAGTTTTCATTAATACTGATGCTAAATATTACCCTAAAAATATGTTCAAGAATAATCAAGTGAGGCACAATTTTATTTCATTTTTTCATTGGTAAACTTTTTTTTTAAGATTTTTTATTGGGGAATTGGGGGAGGGGGACAGACAAGTTGCTGTCCTTTTTGTTCTTCAGTCTAGTTGTGGAGGATGTTGCTTCATTGGCCCACACTGGTATTGTGATCATTGCGCTCTTCCCCGGGTGAGGCAGATCGGTCACTGGCCTCTGGACAGCCGCTCATGGTGGCTCTTGGCAGCTCACACCAGCTGCCGGCCACTCACATTGGCTGCCAGCCACTCAGGGTAGTTCATGGCAACCCACTGCAGCAGGGGCTGCAGCCTACGCCATCGCTGGCGACTCACGGCAGCCCACCTCCAGGTCGAGCCATTGTTCACCATCTTAGCTGTAGAGAGCAGTGTCACTGGCCCTCATGTGGGATCCAAACCGGGGCCCTGCTGCTCAGAGCTGGCATTCCAAGCCAGCTCTTAACCATTGCGCCACTCGGCCGGCCCTCATTGGTAAACTTTTAATGTGATTGGCAAATTGTAAAATTAGATGGACACCAAGATCAATTTAATTCATCTAAATTTTGAGTAAAGTGTTTTTGTTTTTGCTTTTTAATAGCTTTATTGAGGTGTAATTACAGGCCATAAAATTCATTCATGTTAAGTGCACAATTCACTGATTTTTAGTAAATTTACAGTTATGCAACCATCACCACCATCCAGTTTTAGTGCATTCCCATCACTCCAAAAATACCCCTTGTGTCCATTTGCTGCCACCCCTCAATCTCACCTCCAAGTCCAGGCAACCACAAATATTCCTCATATCTCCAGAGATTTGCCTCTTCTGTACATTTTATGTAAATGGAACATATGATATGTGGTCTTAAGTAAAGTATTTTTGAGATATATAATTGCATCATGGGAATACTTATTGATTTTGTACATTTCTTATATTCAGGCTTTTCTCTGTATAGAATTTTCACATTGTCAGTACCATCCAAAAGCAGTGGTTTATCCTCCTGCAACAAGTTCACTGAGTACTGCGGGCACTGGAATTTATCCCTGCTGTAACCAAAAGGTTCTTCGGTTTGATCCTACTCAGCTTACAAAGGTAAATGTTGAATGTTGCCCTTTTGTAGTTATAGTTCTCACTAATACTTTTATTTAAATCTTTTCCCCTTTTATTGTTTTTAAAGTATAAAAGCAATACATTCATGTAGGATTGATGATATTACAGTGTTGCAATGAACGTCCTTGTATATATATTTTGGTATATGTGAGAATTGCTATAGATTAGAGTCCTTGACACTAATACTTTTGAAAATGTTATGTAATTAAACTTCATGAGTGATGAAAGGAACTAAAAGCTCTCCCTCATCATCATCCATACAACAAATACTTATAAAGCACCAAAGTTGTATCACACACAGTGCAAGCCAGAGAGTAGTGTTTAAAATGAGATAATTTCTTCCTTCATGGAGCTTACAGTTAATATCAAATAATATAATATCACTATAATATATTATAATATAATATAATACAGTTAATATCAAACAGCAATAATATCAAAAGGGAAAAAAGTACACAAAGAAATGTTTGAAGAAGTATTCAGGACCATAAATGTCTGTAATAGGCTGGTCTGACCTGGGTGTTAAAATCAAGGAAAGCTTCCTTCAGGAGTTGGCGTTCAGTAGAGGTATGTGAAGTGAAGAGGAACGGAAGGAGCCCTTCAGTCAGAACAGCAACTCCAAAAGGATCACAGTGAGTTAGAGACGGAAAGAAACTGCCTGTTATACAAAACATGCACAGTTCAAGACAAGGCTGGAGAAGTAAGATGTCAGGCCATGCGGGGGCAGGACCTTGTAGGCCACGTTTGAGTTTTTTCTTCATTTCAGTTTTGAAAATAGCAGTTGCAGTGTGGAGAATGGCTTGGGTAATAATCACATTTAAGAGGAAGTTATTATGGTGGTCTTAGAGAAAGATGATGGTAGCTTGGACTAGGGTAGTGGAGATGAAATGGATGAATTCAATTTTAGGAGGTAAAACTGGTGATGGATTGTATCATAGAGGGAGAAGGAGTCAAAGATGACTCAGTTTCTTGCTTGTGCTACTTCATAGAGGGTGGTACTAATTACCAAGGAGAAAAGAACAGAAAGGAATCAGGTTTGGAAAGAAGTTCATGAGTTCTGTTTGGGGCATTTTGAGTTTGAGGTGCTTTATGAGATAACCAGGCAAAGAGTGTTGAATATATGGGTTTGGGTGCTCAGAGGATTGGCTAGGCTAGAAGTAATAATTTGTAAGTCTTTTTGCAAATAAGTGATAATTGAAGCCATTAGGTTTAGGTGAGTATAAGAGCAGAGGGCCTCCAATGGAGCCTAGAGAAACTCCAACATTTAATGGCTGGATAGAGAAGCATGAGCCTGCCGAGGAGAATAATGAGGAGCAGCCAGAATAATAGGGAAACCAAGAATGTTGTCATGGAAGGTAAGGGAGTAGTGTTTAAAAAGAGAGGGTGGTCCACAACGTCAATGTTGCTAAAAGGTCAAATAAAATAATGAAGCAAATATGCCCTTTGGCTTTGGTGACCTGGAGGTCATAGGTGTGAAGAGCTGTTTTAGTGGAGTGCTAGATCTAGAAGCCAGATTGGTATGGGCTAAGGTATGAGTAGAAGAACAAGTGGAGGCAGTGTGAATAACCGCTCTTTTGGGAAATTTGAGAAAGGGAGAAGATGTATCAGTAGGTTATGGGTATTTGTTTATTGTTTCTATTTTATTTTGTTTTGATAGGAGAGACTTTTTTAAAACTCAGGGAAGGATCCAGTTGAAGAGAGGTTAACAGTTTAAGGTTTATGAGAAGGCAGGGTAGGGTGGGACCATAAACACAAGAAGCAGTATTTGTTTAGACAGGAGGAAGGGCAGCTTCTCTATTATAACAGGAGAGAAGAGTAGGATAGTTGTAGATATTACTAATATTGTGTTTTTGTAATTGGATGATAAGTTGTTTCAATCTAATGTCTTTCCCAGCAAAGTAGAAGGTTAAGCCATCTGCTAAGAATGAGGGGGAAGAGAGAAGGTTTCAAGGTTTGGAAGAAGTATTGAAGGTTTGAAATAGTCTTTTTGGAAAACAGGAGAGTGCATTGCCCAGAGAAATATTGTAGGTGTCTAGGCTCATTGGAGATTGGTGATCATAATTTACAGTGAAATCCAACATGCCTTTTTGTGTCACTCTTTCCAGCAGCTTTTGGCAGCTTGAGTGCAGGTGAGGAGAAAATGGGTAGTTGAGCTCATCCAGAGTTGGGGTTTTACCAGATGGGTATGATGAAATTTAAGGACAGGGAATTTGGGGTATTAGCATGAATGTTACTGAAATGATGGATTGTGGAATTTAAGCTGGATTAGGAAATTTGTTATATTTGTAATTAATTACCAATTTTGATTGTCAGAAAATTTATTAGTGAGGTAATAGGTTACTGTCATAATGTTCATATTTAAATAGCTTTGCATTTAAAACGGGGCATAAGACTTCAAGCAAAATGGGATTAGCTTTATAGGCCCAAGATATTTCATTATTTCATGATTACTGTTATGGTTTTGCAGTAACATTATTTTTAGTCATTGCATTTCTTTCTGGTTATGATATTTCTATTTTAACTGTCACATTCACATTGTTTTGAACAATACTTTTAAAAATTGTAACTCTTTGGCTTATTATTATCTACTTGCTGGTTATGTTAACTACTAATATTCCATTCATTGTGAGAGGATTCAGGAATAAATAGTAATTAAACTGTATGGTAAGCGTTGTATGAGACATTATGGATTTTTTTTTTAAGATTTTTATTGGGAAATTGGGGGATGGGAACAGCGTTGGAGAATTGGGGGAAGGGGAACAGACAAGTTGCTGTCCTTTTGTTCTTCAGTCTAGTTGTGGAAGATGTTGCTTCACTGGCCCAAGTTGGCACCTTCATTGTGCTCTTCCCAGGTGAGGCAGATCAGTCGCCAGCTTCTGGATGGCCACTCACAGCGGCTGCTGGCCGCTCACACTGGCTGCTGGCTACACACGGTAGCCCATGGCAACCCACTGCAGCAGGGGCTGCAGCCTATGCCATCGCCGGCGACTCG